GTGTGTGTGTGTGTGTGTGTGTGTGTGTGTGTGTGGGAGCTAAGCGTTCTTGACAAACTCCTTTGAAGTTTTTTCTTTTTCTGATGTCTGCTTTCCTCTTTAATTCATCCCATTTTTCGCTCTCCTCCTCTCAGCATCACCATAGACGATGTTGTATATGTGATCGATGGAGGAAAGATAAAGGAGACCAACTTTGACACCAACAACAACATCAGCACCATGACAGCAGAGTGGGTCAGCCTGGCCAACGCCAAACAGAGGAAAGGACGCGCCGGGAGGTGTGTCTGGGGGTTTTCGTATTTTTATAAACAGGGCATATTAGTGCCTCTTGGTATGCAATGTGAAATCTGTGAGGATTATTTTCCCCTCTATTTGTCAGTTCAGCTCTGCAGCAGTGTTCCCCATCTTCCCACTCGTTCCTGCCTTCCCATCTGTAAACACAGACAGAGGCTGGGTGTAGTCACTCCCAGGTTGTTTCCAGTCTGTGACTCGAGACGTCTGTTCTGTTGGCGAGCTCTGACATCAAAGTGGAGCGAGGCCCAATTAGCAGGAGCTGCTTACTATGTGCAGTTCCATCCCATTGATTTAAAATTAAGCCCTTGTCACAGAACTGCTTTAACACGTAACCTCTTTTCTCCCCCCAACTCTCCTCTCCTCTGCTCATGTCCAGAGTGTGCCCGGGGAAGTGCTATCATCTGTACAACGGTCTCAGGGCCAGCCTGCTGGACGCCTATCAATTACCCGAAATTATGAGGACACCACTGGAGGAGCTGTGCCTGCAGATTAAGGTTGTGTATGTGGAGAGAAATAGCAAAGCATAATAAGAGAGGAAAAGAAAAAGGTGTTGCTTTAGGAGTTGAGATGAGGACACGATTGCTGTGAATGGGTTTTGTGAGGACAGAGCTGCTGCTTTTGGTCTCCTCTTGAATTACAGCCTCTGCTGCCTAATGAGAACTCGGGATGAACATCCTGGGCTGACTCATGCCCCTTGCTCTCCAGCTCTTTCTCCCTCTTTTTGCAGACAACATAATGCCCCACTTCAGAGCCTCGTTGTCTTACGTATACAATTGCTTTCTTCTTTGCTCACTTCCAATTTTTTCCCTGCCAGGTTTTGCTTTCTCTTTTACATCCTCACGCTCCACTCAGACATGTTTCAACCCGTGCTAATGGAACATTAAGCCAAAGTTCACTCAGTTCTAATGTTTGCAATGATTGCTCTCACCACCGGCTTTATTCGATATGCGTTGGAGTGTGTATCTTCCTCTAGTGCTGTCGGATATTTTTGAGTGTGTGTATATTTGATGTGTGTAATGTGGTTTTTGGAAGCAAGTGGGTGAGAGGTGGATTAATGCATTGGGCTGTCCTTAAAGTGGGAGAAAAACTGACAACATGCTCGCCTCGAGCAGACTCTCGAATGCATTAACACTCCAACTCTGTCCTGTTAGTCAGACACAGAAATGCGGTGGCGTCATTACTCTTCTGTTTGCTCTATGTAGATGATTGGTGCGTTTAAAAAATCACTCTTTGATGTAAAAATGATTACACTTTTAGAGAATGTGGATAGTCGGGTCTTTTTTTGCTCAGCCGAGCATTTAGAGGAGCATGTCAATGTGGTTCACGCTGTTTTAAACAGCAATCAAATGGATTTGCAGTAGACCTTCCTATATCCACATTGTGCTTTTTCCCTTTTTCTTAGGAGCTACTCACCTTAGAAAGGGATGTAATTTTAGAATTTCGACGTGATTCTTTTCTCATCGTATGTTAATCGTGATGTTATGTGTACTACCTAGATATTGAAGCTTGGCTCTATAGCTCGATTCCTGGAGAAAGCCCCTGACCCACCTACTGAGAAGGCCATCAGTCTGGCCATCAAGAACCTTGTAGACTTGGTAAGAAAAATTAGAAGATATATTTTTATTTTCTCATATAATCATTTGCTCTATGAAATGTCAGACAGTTGCCAGAAAATAAATTTAATTTCATGAAATCCAAATCACAAAAACATTTTATTTTATAGTCCAAAACCTAAACAATTATGAATTTAACACCTAAGACTAAGAGACCCATACAATCTGTACTGTTTTACCAAAGCCAGCAGCAAGAGAACAAACCGTAGTATTTTAGGAAGCATTATCTGTAAACCTGCTAGTTCCAACAATGGTATTTTGTTTCTTAGTGAAGGAAAGAGATGGAATAAAGAGAAATCAAAGGAATCTGTACTTATTACAAAGGTTAGGAAGATAAAACAGTTAGCTTTAATTCAAACTAATAAGGTTTAAACACTAATCAGGGAAGCAGCACTTGGATCTGACAATAAAAAAACTGAGCAGTTGCTATTGATCATTTTTAATTAACATGGAAACTTGTTTGACAGCAACACTAACTCATCCTTCCTCTCTGGCCTTCTGGGAGAACCTTTGACCTTGCTCTGTTAAAATGGTTTTGATGTTTTCCACTTCAACAAAGCAGTGTCTTTTGAATATTGGGATAACCACTCCTTGTCTTGTGGTTATTTTAGAAACACCTTGTGTAGAGCTGAAGATGACTAAACACGTTTTGTTTTCTTTGGGTTTTTTGTGATGGCCTCGTGTGTTAGAATGCCCTGGACCACTCAGAGAATCTGACAGCACTGGGTTTCCACCTGGCTCGTCTGCCCGTGGAGCCTCACATCGGCAAACTGATCCTGTTCGGAGCTCTGTTGGGCTGCCTCGACCCCGTACTCACCATCGCCGCTTCGCTCAGCTTCAAAGACCCTTTCTTCATACCCCTGGTAGGGCACTGAGGTCACAGACTTGAAAGCAGCGACACACAGGCACACTTCAACACATCACTGCACTCTACCTTCTGACTGTTTTAATTGTGCGATAGGCCCTCAATTTTGGCCGCTTTTGTAAAGTCCAAAAAGTCACCAAACAAATCTGCCCTCTATGGAAAAGGTCATGAGGTCAATGAAAGATGTGAAGAATTCATAAGAACTTGGGAACAGACATTTCATTACGAAGAATATCAGACTGCACCTTTTCTTAAAACCGACTTTATTCATAATATATGGAAGTTAAGTACAGTGACAACTCAGTTATGTGCACCTACATCTCAATTGAGACACAAACAAAATCACAGTGAATGCAGAGTGAACATTGAACTCACAGTAACTGCAAAATAAATGCTGTTGAATACAAAAGCATTAAAAAGGACTGAAATGTTGAAATAATGAAAAGGAGAGAAAGTTGAACCAATAACATTTAAGTAAAAATGATCAGGAAGGATAAGAATATAAATATGTTATGTAGAGAACGTTTTATTTTGGTGCATTCCCCAATGGAGGGGATTTGGTGAAATCACATTTGTGTACATACTATTTTGTTACGATAATTATATTGTAACAAGAAACTTAGTAGTTGTTCTGAAAGATTATTCCTAACTGCAGAATTTTGAAGAGAAGAAATCAATATTTTTTGGATATTGGAGCTCGGCCAGTCATGCAAGGATTTACCTTCAGATCTTATTTCAAGAATAAAGCAGATGCTGTGCTCGGTTTCTACAGTTACATGGTCTGCCCTGGTGCAGCCACACTCTCGCAGCCGCAAGGCATTGTGGGACAGTATTTCCTGCTTTTTTTTTGGTATGGGATGGTCCATTGTATCCTGTGTCTAAGGACATAAGATAGGAATCTTTTAGATAAATAAACCAGCTCTCATCATGGCTGCATACTTTTTGGTCATCTCACTCAGTTAGAAACCCTTCTAAGCAAAAAAGACCTTTTAATCACAGCATCAGTGTTTAATACACTCTCTCAGGGTAAAGAGAAGATGGCAGACATGAGGAGGAGGACCCTGTCCAGAAACTCCAAGAGTGACCACCTCACCATTGTCAACGCCTTCCAGGTAAAATAAACCACATCCGTCAGTTTTAATCTCGGTCTCCTGTATAAAAGGACCATGTCTGAATCTATCATCCACTGATTGTCCAGGGCTGGGAGGAAGCCAAGCGACGCGGTGTCAGGTATGAGAGGGAGTTCTGCTGGGACAACTTCCTGTCTGCAAATACTCTTCAGGTGAGCCAGGCTGGTTGTAAAGGCTGAGCTGAAAGGCTTTGAAAATAAAACCAGGGGTTGTCCATGATGATATTTAGATTATTACTTCTGTCTGGGCAGTTGAGGATATGTATCCTCTTTTGAAACTAATTCATCCTTTTAATATTCAGATGCTGCACAACATGAAGGGTCAGTTTGCTGAACATCTGATGCATGCAGGCTTTGTCAGCAGCAAGGACCCGAGAGACCCCAAATCTAATGTCAACTCGGGTAACTAACACAAGTATTTCTGGGTGCGATCCAGCTGTCAGAACACATTCATCCTCATGAATCTTAAAACCAGCGGTGGAGCAGTAATACATTATGAGACATGTTAATGTAGCAGGGATAATTAGTTATTTTTCTTCCTCTTCCCCAGACAATGAGAAGTTAATCAAAGCGGTGATTGTCGCAGGCCTGTACCCTAAGGTGGCCATGATCAGACCATCGCACAGCAAAAAGAGGCCGGGGTGAGTCTGCCGATTGATCCGAGATGAGCACTCACAGATAGGAATGGCTGCACAGTACATGACAGAGAAATGCATTCTTATTGATCTGTAGGCAAAACGAAACAGCCTTCACAATATCTAATCAGAGGTCTCAGGTAAGAGCTTGTAAAGGGTCCTGTGACAATTACCTGTTAGGTTGTGCAGAGACCATGTTAGGAGAACTGTCAACAACAGAGGCACGTCTGCAGCTGAAGATCAATGCAGTCATCATAGAAATACCCTCAGGCGTCTGTCATCGACAGCGGCTGTGACCTGTGTGCAGAAGACAGACGCACGCAAGAGGGAGACAGTTTCTCTCACAGAGCTGCTGTCAGTTGTTTTTGTCTGTCTCTGTGGCAGATTTAGATCCAGGTGAAATAACCAGGGTCATTTTCTCTGCACAAGTAATCCCCAGCAGCTGTGATGCCAAGTTAGTTGCAAGTTTTTAACGTGTCGAACTCGCAGCTCTGCAGTATTTAATGAAGTCATTGCTCGGTGAAGCACTTTTCGTTTGTGTTTTTTCTGCTAAATCAGACGACTGTCTGGTACAAACAGTTTGTTCCCTGCAGTCAAGTAATCAGCTCTGTCTGGTGGACACGCAGGAGTTTGTAACACAGCTTTCATGTTAAGAGATGATTTGCAGACGGTAGCACAGTTTCTCTTTTGTACAGTTTGTGCCAAAATGGCAGGAGGCATTCTTTGCTTATTGTCTTAACAAGCCAACTGCATCTGAAAGTTTGTTTCTGGAATTACTTTCTGACTGAATTTAACAAAATGTACTCCGGTGGTTATGCGTTTTCACATGAAACATTACTGGACTTATCATGGACAGTTTAAATATATCAAATTTGAAGCAGCAGAAATAGAATCTCTTTTATTCAACACTTCCTGCTCTATGACTTATTTTACTGTACAGACTGACTGTAGATTTGGGTGCTATTGAAACCATGTTTTTAATATTTCTACCAAGGTGGTGTGTTTTAATCTTTGTTTGTTTGTTTGTTAGTTAAATGGGTTAGGCAAAAACTACTCAACTGATTTCAATTAAATTTGGAGGGGTGGGGCGTGACCCTAGGAAGAATCTGTAACATGTTGGAGCAGATGTGGATCTGTGGAGGGATCCAGAATTTTCTTTCACCTTTAACATGGTGAGAGATGGTGTTGTTAGTGGAGGATCCAGGGTTTGCTCAAATCTGATTTCCTCTATAGTGCCTGTGTCAGTAGTCATTAGTGAAAAATGACTACAATTGGGAAAAAGTCACTTTCTAACAATACTAACAATATATATGACCATTGTTGGGAATTGTTAGTTTTGCCTGAACAAGAAACATCTTTCAAAATATATTTACTGATGTGAGAGGAGAGAGAGACCAGGAACACCTGTGCACTCATATTTATGACTGTTTGTAATTTGGTGCAGATCCAAAAAAAAATCTGGTTCTTGAATTTAAATGTGGTTTCACACGGGGACCGTTGGGCCTTGTTGGCAAAATGCCCTCCACTGTGCATCATTCTAGTATTAAATGTTGTTCATTACACTGTTACCATAACACCTAATCCCACCATGTAGACACACTCTAACAGTTCATCTTTCTCAGGGTTAAGGTGTACACCCAGGCTGATGGAAAAGTGAATATCCACCCGAAATCTGTCAACGCCGAAGAGACAGAGTTCAACTACAAGTGGCTCGTCTACCACCTCAAGATGAGAACGAGCAGCGTGAGTATGCGAGGGGACACAGGAACGCTATTGCTTTATTTCAACACTGTGAATGAATGTTGTGCGGCTTTACATTTAAGTGTATATGTGTGTGTCCTTTTGGTTTTTCTGTGTGTGTCCCTGAAGCGTGCATGTGAGTGGAAAGAATGGCCCTCGGTTAAAGGTTAGCAGTGGAGCCACGCCAGCTTTTTTCAGAATTAATATTTGATTAAAACGCTTCCTTTCAACTCTTGCTCAAAGGCTCTTGTGCTTCAAAGCGTCCAGACATAATGTAAGATGTGGTGGTGGCGGGCAAAATCGGTCAATGCAGCTCCCTGACTACCACCTTCACTTCTGTCCTTCACATTCCCATTTCCTCTCCCTCCCATCTATCTGTCTTTTGTTCTTCCTGTGCCGTCTCTCTTTGTGAATATTACTATTCTGCAGAAAAACACCTTTCATGTCCTCTCTGATTGCTGCCCACGCCTTTGTCTCCCTTTGCTGCCTTCGTCTCTATAAAGAAAAATAGTATTTTCGGGATTTTCACCATTTTTCTTCTTATTGTCTGTATGTGCTTTTGGGCACAAGACGCAGACTTTTTCTCTAAAGTGAGATTGTCAAGGTCACTTGCTTCCTGAAAGAAAAGTAGAAAACATAAGCTATAGAAAGAAAGAAAGAAAGTAACAGTGACACATTCGCCCCTTATGGTCCATTACAGTATGCATTCATGTGGCAAAAATGTGTGTTCATGTTCTCCTCACTCTTTTTTTATCCACTTGTCTGTGATACAATGCTTTCACCTTTCCTTACTTCTCTGTGACACTTATTTTCAACCTTCTCGTTTGACTTGGATCTGCTGCTTAGTCTCTGTAGCTTTAGATCTTAAAGCAGTTTTGGAGTGCCCACAGATGAGCATTACACTGAGCATCAATTGTTTTTCTGCCTGAGGCAGAAAAATATGCATTTACCTTGGCATCTGTGTAGAAAAATCTGTTATTTTTCATTTTGACTATCACTAGATAAACTATCCTACATACGCAACTGTCAGTTTTGCACAGGGAGGAAATTGATGGTTAAAAGTGTAACATGTGAGCAGGATTCACAGACGGGGCAAGATGACATTTCTCATAACCCCGGAGGCAACGAAACACATTTCAAACTCGCACAGCCTCTCCTCACTAATGGGACACTTTCAGCCCACACTACAGAATAGCTGTTGGGCATGGTGTGTCATAATGATGCCGCTCCCTGTCAGTGAGCGTGTTTGTTGTAATACTCTGTGCGTCCTCAGATCTTCCTGTACGATTGCACCGAGGTGTCCCCGTTCTCGCTGCTGTTTTTCGGAGGCGACATCACCATCCAGAAGGACGAGGACCAGGAGACCATCGCTGTGGACCAGTGGATCGTCTTCAGTTCCCCGGCACGCATCGCTCACCTTGTTAAGGTAAGCGAAGTGCATTGCTCACATGAACTCATCTCAGTTGTGCTGAGATTAAAGCTGTTTAAAGACATGCACCGAAGTCCAGATAATCTCCTGACATTCTCAGGAGGGGCAGTATGTGAGAACACAAATGACAGACAGGCCCGGGACTTTCTCTGGAATTTTATCCTGCAAGCCCCCTTGTAAACACTAATTTCAGAATGAGCCAATGTGAAAATACAGCAGGAGATCCTCCAGAGGATTCACTGCGAGCGAGTGGACATGGTGATGCTGTTTCTAACACATGGCGGACGCAAAAATGACATAAGAAAAAGATGCCAACTTGGAAAGATGAGATTCAAGATTTTTTTTTTTGTGGCACAAGTAATTCTGGAGTCAATTCGCTGTAAACAAAAAATATTGATCTGTGCAGCAGAATTTAAACCTCATGTCCTGCCTCTACCTGCTTCGCCACCCCTCGCCTGAACATGAGATCTCTGTGCTGTTGCGAACACGTCTGACCGGAGAATTTCGTGTTGGTTCATCATATGTTAAAGGGAAACTCTGGAAAGTCCAGACCCAATTGTGCAGATATCCTCAGGAGTTCATTTCTGAAAGCAGCTTAATTTCACCAGCCTCTTTCCTCTTTTCCTCAGAGTTTAAAGAAGGAGTTGGATTCCTTACTAGAGGGGAAAATCCGTAACCCGGCACCTGTGGACTGGCAGAACCGTCAGTCCAAAGACTGCGCTGTCATCTCGGCCATCATAGATCTCATCACCACCCAAGAGAAGCCTACAGGCGGCACTAAGAGCTATGGCAGACCATGGGCATCTGCCCCTAGAGGACAACATATTCACTTCAATGACGATGATGATGACGACGATGATTAGAAGTGGACAGCTTTCTAGCTGGCTTTGAAAAGAGGAGGAATGACTGACTGCATCCTTGGACCCAGAGGTTAGATGATATATTTATGATAACCAGTTGGTCTCCTTGATGGTGCGGCCTGGTTGAAATTTTAGTGCTCTCCGGACGCTGGAATCCTGGAAGATGGCATGCACTTGAATGACTCTGTTTGGTCGTTACTTAGAAAGGACCAATCCACGTTCAAACACTCTCCATAGCCGTGTTGTTTATTGTTTCATTCGTACATTTTTGTTTTGGATAAATCACACTGTTGTTTTTCAGCAATGTCACTTACAGAGCAATAAAAAAGATTGTATGATGGAACTTCTTCTTCATCGTTTTACTTGCCTTACTCGTCTTAAATGTAGGAATTAAAAAACAGAGAAATAAGCATCACTAAAATACTTGGTATGTGAGAACATAATCTGCACCATGATGAGGAGAAGACTATTTATTTAAACTTTGAGAAGTACTAAAAATCACCTTGGTAATTTTGCCGTTCATAGCTGTTAACACTCAGCAGCACACGGTTGTGTGCCCCCTGGTTTAACAGCCGATGCCTCGTAAATATCAGTGAAAGCGCTGCCAGTGCTGATTTATGCACATTTCTGATTAATGTGTGCTGAATGTCTCAAAAGCGCACGGCTAATTCATTGCTCCAAATGTTACTGGAAGAATAGAAGTCAAGTAATTTTCTTGCAGCGGTCCCCGAGGAAAAAAAAAAAAGATGTTCAATGAGAAAACATGACAGGCTCCAAGCAATTAAGCCTTTTTATTAATAAGGTCAACTAGGAAAGTTTCTTCAATATAAATCTGTATTTAGGAAAACATGTTACAATTCAGGCTGTTTTACATATTTACATGAACGCAGTTGATTTACAATAGTTACAAAATGACAAAGTGATTGAAGTAAAGATGAATTCATGTTTAGACGCGTCGTATCACGTAGCTAATTTTCCCTGAGTGCAAATACAAAGCTTTGTCTGCCCACTTCTGTCATACCTCGCGTCACGTAGCTCGACGGTCGTGGTCGCTGTCGTTTGGGCCGGGGCCAGAGTGGGCTTGATAGATGGCGTTATCATCAGACTGACCGAGCCATTTATTTCCTTTAGCTGGACACTAAAAACATGACTCACTGTGGACAATCAAATTAAAAGCCGGGCCGAGCTGCTCCGTCTCTTCCCATCAGCACACGCAAATTAATTTCAGTTTGCCTCTGTAACATCCCACACATACACACCACATATAAATCCTGAAGGGGGATATTTATTTATGCACCTCTGGCTGGCATCAAGTGTGTGTAATATTTCAGGCTGTACAAATCACTGAGTGGATGGAGAGAATAATGGCAGTTGTGACACAAATCTTTAGAGTGTGAGTCATGAGGGGGACATTAACTGGTGACAAACCGCATGGCGGAAAACAGATACTTGGCCTCTCTGCTTAGCAACATGTACAAATGAAATCATCCCTCTAAGATGACTGTAATTCTCAATATTATCCAATTAATGACTATTTACACAAAGTGCCTCTGGCTGTAGACATACCATTCATTCCTTTTTTTGCATCTCAACACACACCATCAACATGTCTGTTGTTAAAATCACTAGTAGTTTCACTTGCCATCAGGTGAGTTTCTACGCTAATAAGGCTGCAGCCATACCACTACTTTTGAGTTTGTTTTTCGAGGACGATAACCATGAAACTTGGAAGGATTTTGTGAGGATCAAGATCAGGGAGCTAATCCAGGAATTTTTTTTCATCACTTTAATTTTTCCACAGTGAGATAGGGTATTTTTGGACACACTTAATGGGCCAGGATTTTAAAAAATCAAGCTTGTTTAGAGAACTGATATGTATAAGTATATGCAATTTTGTGCAGCTTGATTGGATTTAAGGGGATCATTGGGCCTTATCGAAGCTCTTCTAATTTTAAAACCGTTAAAACTAGAACAATAGCTGAAACGCAAATCATTTGACCATTCATGTACACTGGGCATGCAAGTGCCGGTTTGAACAGGAAGCAGATTGTTTGCTGTGCAGTCGGTTGCTTACTTATAAATGAGAAACTACAATGGTGAAAAGAAATACAAGGGATTTCATTAAGAACGTTCTGGCTCCATTGGTGATCTGGTGAAGTCTTCATTGATGTCAACCAATCAGTGAGGTGACTTGGTCATTGTGTCAAACTTCTCTGTTCTTAGCCCCAGAGTTTTCAAAGTAAAACGGGACCAGCAGTGTTTCCAAACTTCTGATTTAGGTACTAAAAAAAACTCCAGTGTGGGGGTTTGTGTTGGGGGCGTAAACACAGCAACAGAGACGTGTTGTAAAAAAAGAATCGTAGTGGTGTGGTTGAAGCTTAATCCACACACTGTAAAGAAGCTGCCAATCTCAGCCTCCTGCATCATTATCCACATAGTTACATTGTTAGTGGCAGAGCTCCTGATTTCATGTCCTGAGCCTCAGTCTCATTCTTAGACATCAGGCTGCTGTCATCTTCATACTGTGTGTTCTACCTTATGTCCCATAGCACTGGAGCTGTTTCTAAATGATCACTTGTGCTCAAAAATATGTTCGAAAAAAAGTTTAGAACTTTGACACAAACAGTGTTGAAAGCAGGGATTTTGGCCGTGGGTGTGAAGTTTTCCAAACAACCAGGGAATTAGAGAATGTGACAGATCCCACTGTCACACTCACCAGCCCACCCACCCACGAGGACCAGTTAAGGAAATCCGTCCTCTTTCTGCATTTGTTCTGAACTCAGATTTAGTGGACGCTGAGCAGACATCTGAATTATGGCTTCATCTTTATCCCAGCAGCCTCACAGCTCCCACACATTGTCACACATGGTCCCAGCAGGCAGGTCACTCGTGCTGTTATTGACCTGATTTCTCCGGGTTCACCACTTCATAAGGCGGCTCACTGTTGTTTCAAAGGGTCACTAACAGCTGCAGGAGAAGCCCTCCGTGGTCGAAGCAGCCGGCTCGCTCACACGTTCGTCTCCAGCCCCTGCAGCCGGTCCATCCTCTGCATGTTGCGTTCGATGGTGACCTGACACGTGATGGGCTCGGCGCACTCGGCGAGGAACCACCCCCGTTCTCCGTCGCGCAGTCGCTCACCTTCACACCAGCCTGGGAGGAAAAAAGAAGAGAAATGACCTATGGCCCCTGCGTGTTTGTGTAGACTTTTCCCACATCAGACAGGTATCAGGTCAATGGGTAGTGAAAAGGAGAGTGTATAGAAGTGCATAATGAAAAGATGCAGCTGAAACAGGGAACATTTGAGAAATACTTTAGAGTGAGTGCTACAGAAAGAGCGAGAGGGGGCGCCCACCATCTTCTACAGTCTGTGAGAGCAGCACCACATCCGCCACCTGCAGTGACAACTCATCCGGCTGCTTGGCTGTGTACGTCCTGATCACCTCCATCTGCATGGCGTCTGGAGGAAACATACACAAACAGTCAGCAATGAGAAGAGACTGTTCTCTTTTAGTCTTCTGGTCTTTGAATATAATTTATCTGAATTAACGAGCACCTTCCACATGTATGCATTTCATTTAGCGGCCACAAGGTGGTGCAATAGCCTTAGGAGAAGTTAGGCTCAGTGGATTCAGCATGTTTGAGTGTGATTGTGTAACTCACTGATTCTGTCCTCGCTCTTCTTGTTGTTGACGTTCTGGCCCAGAGCACTGATCCATCGAGCACGCTCATTTCTATGGCAACACAAAACAACACAAACCATTTATTAAACGTATCCTTCAAAAAACAACTTCTACACTTTAAGGAGTTAAACTGCACAACTCCTGAAACTCGACAGGGCTGAGGAAGTTGTTGGCGACCTAAATTGTGGTGGAAAGAGTTTGCTAGTTTTGTATTACACATGCGAAGGTGTTTTTCAGAGCATATACATACACAAGTAAACAGGCTTCAGCAGCTAATTGAATTTCGTTTTCAAGCAGGTTTCGTCTTCCCAGCCTCCTCTCTGTTCTCTGTCCGAGAGAACAGAGGCATGTGTTCACTCAGAGAAAAATGAGGAGAACAAGCACAAAGGCCGATTCTCAGGAGCTGCCTGTGCTTTCGCTCTCGTGCATTTCATTGAAGAAAAAACACACTGGGTGGAGTCACACAGGTTGGATTCCCCGAATCTCTCATTTCACCTGTTCTCATCTACTGCAGAATGGAGAGCAGAGGAGGGGATTTAGGAAAGAGTGGCAGAGGGAGAGATGTGGGGGGGGGGGGTCTCAGGAAATGAACCACAGGGGATTTTATTGAGGCCCTCTGTGAGTCAGCGGCATTGGTCTGCATCGTGCAGGGACGGGTACATTGCAGACTGAGTGGTATCTGTGTGGAACTTCTTCACAAAGGCCTAAATTGGACCTCAAACGGGCAAGTCCCATGAGTCAGAGCTGTTTATTGTGTTTCCATTGTACACATGTCATTCTGATCCTTTTCAGGACAAGTAAGCCGTAAAATACTGGGTCACGTCATCCCTCAACAACTATAAATCCCCATAAACCTCTACTGTAAATAAAATAATTAACTTAATGGCCATCAATGTGTAGACACAGTGTATTATAATGACCCGAATAAACCTTTGGAGCTTTACGATTAAGTTTACAGTCTACGTACGGTACTGATGATTACTTAACACCGTGACCATTTTTATGGGTTCAAAGTCCATGTATAAATTCTCCCCTACCAGTCAAGTGATGTCATTATTTTGAAGAAAATGTAACAATAAAAAAAGCGGAATCGTTTCCAAGAAACCAACAAGCAGAACAAGAGTGTAAAGCAGCTCAAGCTTTAAAGTTTACACAGTTATAATGTTTGCAATATTCACTATCTTAGTTCAACAAGTTGGAATGCTATCTAAGTTGCTTCTAAATTTACACTTTGATCAGCTGTAAAGTCATACAATGGGAAATATGAATGTCTGACGATGTCATATGTGAATACTTCATACTGGACTAAAGCAGTGGACCGACTTACCAACACAGAGGCACAGTGTGGATCAACAAGAATTAATGCCCTGTGGTTGTATGCCTCCAATCAGTGCAGTTTCAGTCTCCATAATTCTTTTTCCCCAGACTCAAATGAGGTCGCTGTGACCTTTGACCTCTGATACTAAAATCAGTTCATCTTTGAGTCCCAGTAACAACTGGTCGAAATTTGAAGAAATTAAAATTTGTACCAAATTTGAAAGGGTTCTGATCTGGTCTTCTTAAGATAATATGTTCACGATGCTAAAAATGGTTTTGCGAGGTCAGTTCGACCTTTGATTACCAAATTCTAATTAATTAATCCATAGCTGACTATTTGCTCCAAATTTGAAAGGATTCCCAGGAGGCGTTGCTGAAACATTGTGTTCACAAGGCTAACCAGTTCGTCTTCGAGTCCAAGTGAACGTTTATAACAAACTTAAAGAAATTTGTGTTCACAAGAATGGGATTGTGAACACAAAGGCCCTGGCTGCATTGTACTGAGGCATAAGTTAGAAGTTACCAAGCATCACTATATTCACAAATAGGGGCAGCAAATCTTCAACATAGCTAATAATTAAACACGCATGGCAAAACATGTAACAGATAAAAGAAGAAGATTAGGTGGAGGAGGTAAATATGCCGTCTTAAATAAATAATAAGACGTTACTGAAACACAGACAATTTCTAAAAGATACTAATCAGGAGGAACTTTTTTTGTCAAACTGAAAGTCACTGATCAGGTTGTGATTGCTAATCGATCCCCCTCTCTGGTCTTTATTAAAGCGAAATATAATATTTAGGTGAACACATGACGCATGTAAGAGAAACGTGCTTCAGCAAAGAGCCCGGCTTTGTCTCTACGGTGAATGTGACAGTCCAAACATCCGAGCCGCTCTGTGGGAAAGGCAGCTGTTAGTCGTCGCTCCTGACAGTTGGACACACATGTCTGTGCACATACAGAGCACACCATCATGGCAGGTCTCCTTCTCACACAACAGCTGAAATACTTTATTCAAACTGCGAGTGTACACTTATTCAATATGTAGCGTGCACAGGCGTGAACAGAACGCCATGTGTTTCAGAGGCATTTAATGGTAATCTGAGGAATGTGAGGCATGTGCCCAAAGAGGTTTCAGGTAAAAAAAAGCAGCCCGTGTGTTTACATGCAGGCATCTGAACACTGCATATGCACAAACAGGTGTTTGGTCTCTTCCTCTGTACATGACAACAGGCCACTGAAGGATCAGTATATTCATTGGAGTAAAGATCACTACGACCTTAACCATTTATCCACATGGCAAGAACAGGACTCATCACACCAATGTCAGAGGTCCTTGTTTCAACTCTGAAAGGAAGAGAGGCCTCGCTGCTGGAAAACTTCTTTCACACGAACAGAATATTGACAGATTGATGACAGCCTCTTTCTAACATTCCTTCCGCTGCCAACTTGAAATCACCACCAGGCCACTGGTTTTCATCTCATTTCAGTGTTATCACCCCCCTCTTCTCATAACGCTCTCTGCAAACGCTTATCTATTTGTTTACTCTCTCAACCAAATTCCTCCCTTGTTTCCACTGAACCACATTGTCAGCATTTGGATACGATTCCTCCTCCTCTGAAGAACAAAACATCTCCATCCTGGCAGAGGGAACAATTCCCATTCGGGATGTCCTGATACCATTTTTCCTCTCACCAATACCAATACCTGGACGTTGCGTATTGGCTAATACAGAGTACCAATCCGATACCAGTGTATTAAAACATAATAACTTCTATTTAATATTTTAACAGCTGTATGCTACCATCATTGTTTCTGGCCTGTCTCTAACTGAAAATAAACACAAATAAATAAATCTAGGAATACACAACAATGACTTCCTTTAAATAGCTTGAACCTGAAGTCTTGCACACACGCACACATTGATGTTTTGCTTGTGAAACTTTCCAGAGTGAAATATTGCCAAATATAGCCTCACTGTTTTTCTTCAGAATGGACTTAACATTCGGTCATACTGAACAACTCTAATTCCCATCAGCAATTCTGTTGTTGTCATCTTAACAAAAATGAAAAACAACATAAAAACAAAAGCAGACGGCTTTTTTTTTAAAATGCTGAAGCGTGCATCAGAGTTACAGCCGCCTCCTCCTCCTCTTCCTCTTTGGGCTGTTGCATAAGTGGTGCTGCTTTGTGTTACATGTGTATCTGACTAACAGAACTGTTGCTGCAGACTTCTGTAGCTGCTTTCTTTCACTAATAGAGAAGCACTATTTACTGACTCTGGAGAGGACACAACTTTAGGGTCATGGGGAAGGCGCACTGACACGCACACATGGAACAAAAGGATGCACAGACAGGGACAGGGACACAGACAGAAGAAAAGGGGATTCACAAACGATAGTGGGGAGCCACACAGGCGTCCTTGTGCCGTCTCTAATCCAGCTGCCTGTCTGAATTCCTGATGTATTACGTTACTGCCGGGGTCAGAGATCAGTCTGTTATATGCATGATTCCAAGACCTCACAGACTGACACGTAGGCTTGAGTAGACACAGGTAAGCATCGGTTTAAAGGCTTCACAGGTAGAGAGCAAATGGAGCTGAAAGCAGAAACAACCACACTGACCAACACAGAAAGGTTCAATTGTACAGTTTCATTTTCACAAAAACCAGACCCGCCTTTAGTCAGAATGTGTGGAATTTTACAGTGCAACCCAACTGGTGCTGCAGGGAAGTAAACCAAAATATCTGGAACACAGACACTTCTCAGTACAGAGAACGTTTGATTCCTGAGAACCACTTATGCATAAACAGTACCTGCCACAGAGAAATCACACACAGTGGTTCTGCATAGTCCTAGTCCTCCGATATTGCCTAAATTCCCCCCCCGGGATCAATATATTATCTATCCATCTATTCATCTGTCCACCCACCTATCCACCTATCTATCCATCTATCTATCCATCCATCCATCCACCTATCTATCCATCAATCCATCTGTCCATCCACCTATCTATACATCCACCTATCCACCTATCTATCCATACATCCATCTATCCACCTATCTATCCATCCATCCA